CGATTGCACAACATTCTATTCCTGCTCAACTTCGATGTTTGCAAATCTGGATTCAGAATCTTGACTCCATATGTTTTCGTATCTCCATATTATTATCTTCTGCACGCATTCGGGTCCGAAATCTACGTCGTAACTCATAGGTCTCGGGCATTCACGCGATTCTACTGCCGCGATTCTTCCAATAAGACAAACAGTTACGAGTCTGTTACATGCCGAGTATCTTGCATTCTGGCTGTGATAGTTCTCCAATACAACCAATCGTAACTGATTACCACAACCGAAATGCAAGATGATCGCCATGCAATGGACTCGTAACGCCTTTTTGGAAGAATCGCGGCAATGAAATCACGTGAACTCTGCCGAAGGCCTTAGTTCGGCTGCCTTTTTAAAGTGATTTCTTCCATTTCCAGGTATGCATCAAACCGTGCTGCTGTTGTTAGCGTTGGTTGCATTATCATATACTTTTGGGATATTCGCGCGACCACCGGCAGTCAACAGAGAAGTCCGGCAGCGGAAAGCTAAACCGGGTTCACTTAAACTGTGTCCGCCAGGTAAGCTGGAAATTTTTCCCAGCCGGGATTAGCAAGTAATTTTTGTGCTTTCCCAGGTGGACCCTCTTTCCTTGATGCATTCAACTTGATCTGCCCAATGCGGCGACGACGACGGAGCGTCGACAATGCACTTGAGGAAAGCAGCTCTTCGCTCGAGAAAATTATGCACAAATGCTGTGATGAAGGTTGTGAATTCTCCGACATCTTCCCTATTTGTAATCCATTTGGATAAGATAAAGTCTCCGCCTGTTAATCGCCCCGCCGCCAACAACATCACTCCATCTTCACTGGCACTCGCTAATCGTTGTATGTATTCGTATAAACATTGTTGGGTTATAGATCTCATAAATATTTTGTTGATAGTATTATAAATGCGTATAAATGCGCTTAATAAACAATCAATAACATTTATAGCCCGAGGCATAACAAAAATTAACAATTAGACGGTTTCTTGAATTGGAGGTTCATAGTCGTCGGGACGATCAACCTTCTCACCATCTGCGCCAACAGTAACGGAGTCTCCGTGCATTTCCATGAGGCGGCCAAGATCGAGACGAGGCTTCTTCAGGATTTTCACTTTGCGAATGTACACGTCTTGAAGTGGGTACAGTCCATGGCACGCCTTCTCGATGTCTTTGCCTATCGAGTCTGGGATCAACTTTGAGCACACTTCTCTCAGGTCACATCCGGAGACCTAAAATTAAAATCGCAAAGAATTCACTACCAGAAAAAATCTCAAAATTTTGCTCTGGACGGCAGTGCGAAATCCAATATAAAAAAATCACATAAATTCATA